ACTTCATGTCCCCTCAGTTATCCCACACTCCCAATCCAGCCTCCCCGCCTCATTTCCAGACTCCTTCTGCTGACTCTCGTTCACACCTCTCAGCCTCTTCCTCCTGTTTTTGTGCACTCTTCCCTCAGACTCTTTCTTTCCTCTCTGCCTCTAGCTCATGTTCTCACCCTTCCTCTGCCCTCATCCTCTTCCTCTCTTACCCCATTTCTTCCCCCCTCTCCCTATCCCCCACCCTCACACACACCATTTGCTTTCATTATCTCCTCCACTTTTCTCATTCCCTCCATTCCCCTTGCTGGGGCTCTCTCTCCCCCGACCCCAGCTGCCCAGGACAATAGAGCAGATGGCAAGCTGTTTGGTTTATATGTCCCCTCAGAAACTCCGCACAGCTCGAGAATCTGCCACTGTTTCTAAAAACAGACACGGTATAACATGGAACCAAGCACCAAGGGGATTGGGGGGGGGGGGAGGGCAGGGACATCCTCTCTCTCTCTCTCCTCTCTGGCTCAAAACCAAGCCCCCGGTTAAAGAAGCCTATTGCAGCTTTCTAAGCAGCTGCAGCAGAACACAGTCACAAGTGAAATGAGTCTGGCCAGTCTCTGCAGCAGGGATTTCAGTGACGGAGACACAGTGAGGCCCTCTTGCTGTACATCAGTATTATTGGGGAGCGTGCTTGCTCCCTCCAAAGGCATCAGCACCAGCACCAGCAGACAACTCCAAGAAACTGAGCTGCATTTCATGTAGCAACAAGGGGGCATGACGCCAGCATTCCACTGCAGGCTTTACAGTGGGACCTGTGCACAGCATTTCGGGTTCCCCCCATCTTGTCTCCTTAAGCTTTTGGGGGCAGGGACGGTCTCTGGCTAGGGCCAAGTCTACACTTCATACTGTTGCTGGCTTAACTATACTGGCCTGGGGTGTGAGAAGTAATCCCTGCGCAATTCAGGTGTGCAAGCAAAAGCACCTACTGTAGACATTGTTTACCAGCAAAACTCCTTTTTTGCAGGTCTTCCTGATTTTACTGATCAGAGAGGAGGCTGGAAGAAGGGGCCCAGAGCCCTGAAGGGACACCAAGTATTTTCTCTCTCTCCAGTGCTTGAGTGGCTGCTTCTTGCTCACATGCTCAGGTTCTAGCTGATTGCCACATGTCCCCCCCCCAAATCCCTTGGGGGTCTTTCACCTTCCTCTGCAGGGGTTTCCTGCCACTGCAGGGCTTGGGGCATTGTGCACCTCACTTCCTGTGCTGCTCTGCCTGCAGCACCTATCAAGTCTCCCACTATACCATGTTGGTTACATTTAGGCGGCTGGGTTTCGTATGTGGGCGCTGGGTGGTGCTGATGGCCTGCAATATACAAGAGGTCAGACTGGAAAATTGGAGAGGGGTCTCTTCTGACTCTCACAAGTCGTATCACCAAAGGCACAGTTTTGCCCACCCCAGGAGCACTTTGCTGCTGTGGCAGGCCAGCCTAACTCCCTGGGCAAGCGCATCTCAGATTTGGCCCGAGTCCTCGTACAGCATCTAGGGCTGCGGGGGCCTCTTGTACCACCACCATACAGAGTAAATACACAGCACAAATACTGGCGTCTAACCTACCTGTAAATGGAACCATCCCTTCTGACCTCCAAGGACCACGTTGGTGCGGTACAATCGCGGTGCAGGCAGCTCTGAGGCCGCTCTCCTTGGTGAGCCCAGCATGGAACTGTGACCCACTGGGATGGGGGAAGTCTTGGCATTTGGCAGAGATGTAAGATCCTCACTGCTCTGTGGTCATTAAAGAGCCCAGGCCCCTGTTTGTAAAAGGGCTCACTCCTTTCTCCCCAGCACACTCCAACTCAGCTAACCACATTGGGCCAGATCCTCAAAGGGATTTAGGTACCTGCCATTGATATCAATTGGGATGAGGTGCGTACACACCTTTGTAGCTCTGGGCCTAAGGAGATTGGGAGCTATGGGACAGAAAGCCTTGTAGCACTTGCCACCAGCGTCAATGACCAGCAAAACGTCACCCATTGGCAACGCAGACCCCCAGCAGCAGAAAGCTCCGCCCCCAGTGGCAAGGGGAAGGAGAGGCAGCTCCTGCATTTCAGCATTAGCCTTCTAGCAGCAGTAGGGCTGGGCTGGCACTGGCGCTGTGGTGCTCTCTCCTGCAGTGATGCTCCATGGCAATAGACAGCCCAGGAAGCGAGAGGCGTGTGTGCTTTGCAGAGCGCAGCCCCAGCCGCGAGCGGCACAGACACCGCAGAGAAGGAGCGTAAATAATGACAGCGCCGGCACAGGGAATGGCTCCCCAGAGCAAGAGACGCGCCTCATCACTCAAGCACCGCCCGACCTGAAGGAATGATGGAGGCCGTTTTAGCCGCAGGACTGGCCTGGCTGTGGGGGCGGGGGACACCAGCCTGTCTCCCTTTTCCTGCACAAGCTGCCTCTCCCTTCCCACACTTAGTCACGTGCCTTCACCCCTTCCCAATGGGACAGATCCTCAGCTGGCATCAATCAGCAGCTACTAAAGTCAATGAGGCGACACTAATTTTCACAAGCAGAGGATCTGGCCTTATCTCAGTCCCTCGTTCTGGCTGTCTCCTCTTCTCCTCTCTTACACTTCTATGCCAGCAGCCCCTTATCACCCCATCTGACCAGCCTGCCTCACACAGGAATCTGACTTTGGAGGGCAGGGGGAGAAAGTTGCTTCTGCTTCCCTTCCCAACATTGTCCAATTTCCCTATGCCGGCTTTCTCTCCCAGACCCTTTCTCAGACTCACCCTTACCGCTTTGCTTACCCCCAAAGATCCCTGTCCCAAGGGCCCTCTACAGCAAACCCTCTTCTGCCCGCTCCAGCTGTGATTACATGGGAGTTACAGCAATCTCTCCCTGCCTGTGAGCCCCTGATCAGTCCTGTTTGCGTCATACAGGGCTGACAAAATTTCCAGCAGGAGATAGGCCGGAGTCAGAGAATCCAAGAACAAAGCATCCCATTTCATTTTCCTTAAAGCTCACTGATAAGTTCTGGCTCCAGGAACAGACAGCAATGGGTGCTGTAATGAAGTACATTCACATGAGATGTCTGAATACCTGAGATGGGCTCACCAAATCCTGGAAAGCAATTTAAACATCAGCTATAGGCAAATCACCAATCTTGAGGTCCATAATTAATCACACACATTTTAAACAGCGGAATAAATGAGTTTTTAGCTCTCTGGGAATTCAAGCCAGATCAAATTGCCCCAGGCAGAAAATGCAAGTTGTCAAGGGGCAGCAGTGAAGAGGTCTCAACACTCTTAAGTCACCACAGTCTTCTCTGAGTTTATTTTACCTACAAGTGACACCCTGCATGACAACATCTGAAAGAAGAGAGGGGGAACAAACAGTCATCAGTAGTTTTTCCATCTTGTTTCCTTTGCGTATTTGACAGTGCTTTGTGTATAGTCAGTTTCGCCATTTCCCTTCTTTGTGTGAAATCCTGGTGTCTGTGAAGTCAGAGGCAAACCTCCCATTGACCCCAATAAAACCAGGATTTTACCCTTTGTGGATAGTCAGTAAGGCCCTGATCATGTGAATTGTGCCACACTAAAGCTCCCCATCCTACCCACCCACCCACCAGCCAGCCAATGGGGTTCTGCTCAGTCAGTTGCAAGCATGGGGCCTTAGTCAGTTTCACCACTTTGCGTGGGCTTCTCACAGCCGCAGGTGACAAACATCTTACAGAGCTGGTCAAAAAGACTCAAACCTCGCAATGTTTCCACAGAGAACAGTGAAAAAATTCTGCAAAAAGCTTGTGTGCTAGATGGTTCCCAATAAAACTGTACAGCCCTGATTCAGGGATAGTTCTGAAAACTAATTTTAATTCGAGTTTTAACACTGCTCATATTTCAAGTTGCCAGTGTCTCCTTCAGCTGGCTTTTTGTGCTTAAAGAAATGCTCTTGGATCCCTTTGTCTGCTTTGAGAAGCCCTGTTCTTTCTGGTACAGTACCGGAGCAGTTACCACAGGCTCTTTTGTAGTTCACTTTAACACAACCTTGCTTTCCCAAGCTCTGCCACATCCTCCTCTCCTCATTAGTTTGCAGGTTCTTCATGAGAGCAGTTGCTCTCCACAGGAGTGGTGCTTGCTGGTATGGTTAGAAAATATTCCACTAGTTTAAGAAGGTTTGGACTCACCTGCTGAAGGACTCGACCCCTTCAGGGCCAGATTCTCAACTGGGATAAATGGAGCTGTGCCAGTTTATACCCAGTGAGGCCTTGATCCAGCTCTTACCTCCTATTTCTGCAGCTTATCTTCCCAGAGTTTGTTGTTTAGTTTCCCCTCCCCACTGTGTTGTGCTTTCACTGCCTCTGCACCTGCTGTCACTTCTTCAGATATGATTGGCTTTTTTTAATCTAAGCACTGAATGCATATGAGGTGAGATCTCAAATGGGGGGGAGGGGAATCCGAGCACTGTAGACTCCTCTGGTAGGTACTAGTTTCTTCTCTCAGGAGGCGCAACCAGTCAGCTTTTTCATGTCCTGGTTAACTTGAAAGCCTCCAAATCTCTTCTCTTACACCAGGGACTTCAAACTCATTCTTAATCTCAACAGATTGTCAGACTCTTACTCCTGAAGCGTGGGTGGCTTCACTTCCAATGGCTTTGATTCGTATGGCTACCAGGCTCTTGTCACTGTGCAAGAAAACCATTATATGCGCAGGGAGAGGTAATTGTTGTGAGCAAGTCCTTGTTCCTGGTCAGGGAGGAGTTTCCAGATGAAAGGGTGCATTTCTTGTGACAAAAAGCAGGACTTGAGAGCCATTTACTTCTTCAGAAGTTGATCAGTGACTGGAAGAAATGGTTGGATTGGAAAGTGACAAGAGGCCAGTGTATTCTTGTTCCACAAAAATCAAAGCACACTTTCAGTTCTTGAACTCTCTTTGCCCAGGTGGAAAACACCTTTGAAACATGTAATTTTTAACCCTTCAGTATCAGGCACAAGAGTCTGCAGTGCAAGCCAGGACACCTGTAGTTACTTTGTAAGGTGCTGGGCTGACTGGTTTGCAAAATGGTGACGACATGGTGGCACTCTCCATGAGCTTCTATCATACTAGCTGCAGCAGATGCAGTTCTATTAGCCTGTGTTAAAGATTTCTCTCCAAACCGGATGACTCTGTTGAGAGATTACATGGCACTTTCATCTGCATTCTCACAGAAATACAGAAGTCCCTCATATACCACTGACTTTCACCTTCCCTTGAAAAGGCAACCACTTTACATTTCTTTTATTCAGAGCGCTAGTTGACATTGAACGTGTTTCTTTGCTTTTTTCTAAGCTTCCCCCAGTCTGCCCTCTCCATGTGTGCAAGAACCAAACATAACTGCTATTCATTTCCCATTAATTAGGGAGGGACCTTTGGGTAACACAAGACCAGTCCAGGACAAGAAACAGTCCCCCCCAGGATCTTGAAACATTCTGAACAGTCAGCAACCCTGCAGGCATCCCAGCTCCACCTCTCACTCCTTCCTCTCTCTGCTGCACTGACAAAGAGCTGTCCCCTAGTGCCTGGAAGGCTGAAGTGCAGGGGTAATAAGCTATTTGCCCTTCCATTTTCATGCCATTGTGAATTAGAGGGTTTTGGCACAGGTTTTAAATGCACAATCTCCAATCCGCTCCCGTATGCGCCATCACTATCTCCTCCTCCCGTCTTCTACCTCACTCTCCTTTTCTCCCACTCCAAATCCTTCTTTAAGTCTATCCTCTCACAGCCCTTCCAGCCAGGTAGGGGTTGGATGCTAATCTTAAAGGACAGACTATTGGAGAGAGGGATTATCCTGATCCCCAGTGGAGAAGAGAAAAGCAAGAATGCTCAAGGAGAGACAGCGATAGCCCCATCTGAATAATGCACAAACCTGCACACACCTCCACCCAGCCATCAGACGACAGTGCCTGCTCCTTCCCTCCCCGCCCCCCATCCCTTCCCCAGGCCAGTCCTGGTGCAGCGCTACTCCAGGGTTGAGCTAGCATAAAGACATGACGACAATCTCATTTTATTTAAATGACTTATCAAGGACTTGAGTTTCTGACTTGAGAATGTAGCCAAACTATCTAAGCAGAGGCTTAGCAAGGAGGCTGGGGCAAGAGGAGTTCTGGCCAGCAGAGGCTCGACAAATGGAAGACAGGAAAGGCTCTTGTCCAGCACAGGCTCAGTGAGAAAGGGCTTGAGGCCATAAAGGGAGGGGCTCTGCTCAGCAGAGATGGCAGTGAAGGCTGGTGTTTCTCCATTCACACTCTGTCCCCATGCTCCCTGCATGCAGTCGGTGTGGCTCCGGATGGATGCAGAGATATGCTCCATTCAGGCAGCAGGGGGCACCTGCTCTCCATCTATTCCTGCACAGCCAGCCGCTGTGGCCAAAGTCCTGCTGTGCTAACAGAGGCATAAGGCTGCCTCTCCCACTTTTGTCCCGAATACCCTGGGACTGCCAGGGCGACAGCTGCACTGCCTACATTAACAGAGGCATGTCAGCTTCCCACTCCCTCCCCTCCTCACTCTCCACAAGTATCGCAGAGGCTGCAGGAAACTGGGCTGCCTTCAAGCGTCCCACCAATGGCGTCCTTCCACATTGCCACCTGGGCGCCTTGCTGTGGAGCCTACCTTCTCACCCTGCACAGCAAGCACTGACCCACAAATCTGTCCCTCACTGCAGCGTGCGGCTCCAGGGTGGTCACTGCACAGGGGAGAGGGCACGCCCGGACTCCCAGGGTGCCCCCATGCACAACACAGCCTGAGGGTTGTTGGTCTGAGTTGGCCCCTTTGGGTGTGGGAGCTTATTTGTCATCAGCCGACAGGCCGTGGGCACCAGCCAGTGTCCGGGTAGAGAAGGCAGTGAAGGGAGCGGAACCTGCAGGAAAGAGGAGGAAGGTTAGGCGTGTGCTGTCACTGCCAAATGAAGCAGCGTGGGAGGAGCGCGTCTCCCCGGTGCCCCATCCCACACCAGATGCTCTCACTCTGCATTGCAGGTAGTGCTTGAGCCGTACGTCTCCAGACTCCTAAACTTCACAAGGACGTGGGGATGGTTGGAGGTGAGCCCTGGATCCAGACCCAATCAGTGGCAACACAGGCCCAGCTCCAGCCAAGGCCAAAGCGAACGCCTCAGACATTAAGAGGGCAGGCAGGATGCCAGCTCGAGCTACGCGGCTCTGCCCACTCACCTCAGCCCTGAGCAGCAGCCTCCCCCTGCCCTATTTCAACCGTGCTTGCAGCAAAGACTCTAGGCCAAGCCAGAGCCTCAGGGACCCACCTGGAGGGGTCGTCCTGCTGGGAGAAGGGGCCAGACAGCTCAACAGTGTTGAGTTTCTTCTCAAAGACACCATAGCTGAGGGTGACCTGCAGGGACAGACCATGAGAAAGGAAAGGGGGAGGTTAGGGACCACGGAGGCAGCTTTGGCAGCTCTCTGCTTTTATGTGCTTGGGCTACAGATGCTCCCATCATTCCCCCGTTGGGAGCCACTCTACAAGCTTTGCTTCCCATGCCCACAACCCTTCTGCCCATGCTGATTTACAAGGCCAGGCTTCAGGCATTCACCCCTTTCCGCCTCCATTTCCTCCAGCCCCCATCTCTTCCTCCATGGCAGGGCTATGCTGCAGGGGCCCCATGGGTGGGCAACAGGCATGTCCTCTGGCCCCTGCAGCTCCGGGGTGGAGGGCTCTCCCTCTGCTCTTTGACTGGCAGCAATTTCACTGGCTAGTTAATTGCCTTTTCATCCTTCGCCCATCATTGCAGAGAAGCGTCTAGGGACACATTTGTCAGGGAAAACCTCATCAAAATAATGTGCGGTTGATTCAATCAGTGTCACAATTACCGCCAGAGTGACGTAAACCATTACTCTGGCCCACTTGCTCCTCGCCTCTCCCTCCGCCCCCTCCAAATTTCTTCTGCAACGTCTCCTTCTCCTGACCCTCTCTTCTATTCACCTGCTCTGGGAGCTGGGGCCTGGAGATCAGCTGCAGGTTCTCCAGGTGGGAGTGGAAGAGCGCGTTGGGGAGCAGACGCCCGCCCAGTTTGCACTCAATGATGTAGCCTACGGTGCAGTCGTCAGGGAGGCGAATGAGGTCTGAGGTGCTCAGGAAGTGACTGCCGCTGGAAGAGAATGGGCTGCATTGGTCAGTGGGAAAATACAGACCTCCAGTGGGATCCCCGTATGAGAGAGGGATAAGAGATCATGAGAGATCTGGCTGTGAAGAGGCAGGAGCCAGCCAATTCTGTCTGTTTGCACGACAAGAATTTATGAACAGATACCCAAGAACGTGTCAATTCTGCTCAACAGGCAGATAGAGCCCAGCAAGCGTGGAGCCTCTAGGGGGTCCCTAGCACAAATACATACCCTTCCTTGCCTGCTCTTGCACACTCACAGCTGGGGAGGCACACCCGCACTGACTGTGCCCTCTCTCGCACACACCCCGTGTGCAAATATACATTCACACTCCAATTTATGCATGACCTTCCGTGACATTCCGCTGGGTTCCTGATGCATACATGCTGACATAGCTACTGACTTCACGGCTCACCTGGCCCAAGGTGCCATCTTGGTGGCCAGCCTACGGCTGATGCAGAATCCAGCCCCTCCCGTAGCAAACCAGAAGTGCACGGATCTCTGGGGAGAGAAAAGAAAGGGGTTGACCACTGCCACTGCTTCCGTACCTGCAGGTCTGAACACCAAAACGCTGGCCATTAGGTACAACCCACCTTCTGCCCCACAACACGGAGTGGCATAGAGGAGAGTCTGCTTTCAAAGCATCAGCTGGTCAAAAATTCAGGACAAATGTACTGCTGCCATGGGACCAGAATTCTTCCCTTAGCTCAGGGGTGAGGAACCTAAGGCCCCGGCAGTATGCGGCCCCGGCAGTATGCGGCCCCGGCATGCCTGGATCTGGCCCCTAAGGCTTAAGGATCTCCTCCCAACATCGGGGAACCTATGCTGGTGCTCCAGCCCCCACTCCAGCTTCTCACTTGTGTGCAGCCCCCAACTGATTTTTCTGGGAGTCAGCAGCCCCTGATCCAAAAAAGATTCCCCAACCCTGCCTTAGCCCATTTGCAAGGAGGGACCCTCATAGCAGAGGCTGAAGGCAGATCAGCTGAACACAGTGTTGGAATTCTTCTCTCCCTCCGAGAAGGGAATGTCCATCTGAAGCAAAGGCTTCCTCTTGGTAGAGCTGTATGAGTTGAATCTCTCAGCTGCACAGATGGGGTTCCCCTTGAGGAGCAATATGGGTGAGACTCTCTCTCTCTCTCTCTCTGGAACCAAGTTAGCACATGGTGTTGTGGTTGTGTGACACAGAGCAAGAAAGGGTTAAGCAGCTTGCAGGCAAATTGACCCAGATTCAACCTTTGAAGACATTTCTAGACAATGCTTGTGTTTTTGTGTGTTTACTAAATACGGTTAGAGGTTAACAATGTAACCAAACAGTTCCTGTCTATCACTATATTCTAAGTCAAAGATCAAAGGGAGATATTAACACCTCAGTGAACTGTGAATGCAGTTTCAGAGCTGTAAGTGTTAGTCTGTAACTGAAAAAACTAGCACCTTAGGGTGTGTCTAAACTACACTCCTCTGCCGACAGAGAGATGTAGATTAGGCACATCGCTATTACAAAGAAGTGGGGATTTAAATATCTCGCGCTTCAATTGAATAGAAATGGCCGACGCGGCACTTTGCTGGCAGAAAGCGGCAGTCTAGACGGGGATCGGTCGACAAGGAAAGCCTTTTCCGACTGATTCTGTAAACCTCGTTGCACGAGGCATAAGGGATCAGTCGGAAAAGGCTTTCCTTGTGGACGGATCCCCAGCTAGACTGCCGCTTTTTGCCGGCAAAGTGCTACGTCAGCAAAAAGCGGCAGCCATTTCTATTAAAATGAAGCACGGGATATTTAAATCCCCGTTTCATTTGCAATAGCGATGTGCCTAATCTACATCCCTCTGTCAGCAGAGGGGTGTAATTTAGACACACCCTTAGAGACTAACAAAACATATAGATGGCATCATGAGCTTTTGTGGCCACAGACCACTTCTTCAGATGAATGGAGGTAACTGTGAATGTAGAGATAGCACTCTCTTCATTTCTCTTTGAAATATACAGCAAATCACCAGGAAATGTGTGCCCTATGAGTCAACAGTGTGTCCTTGTAGCCAAGAAGGCTAATGGCATATTAGGGTGCATTAGGAGGAGCATTGCCAGCAGATCCAGAGAAGTGATTATTCCTCTTTATTTGGCCCTGGGAGGCCACATCTGGAATATTGTGTACAGTTCTGGGCCCCCCACTATAGAAAGGATGTGGATGCATTGGAGAGGGTCCAGCGAAGGGTGACCAAAATGATTAGGGGGCTTGAGCACATGACCTATGAGGAGAGACTGAGGGATTTGGGTTTATTTAGTCTGCAGAAGCGAAGAGGGAGGGGGGATTTGACAGCAGCCTTCAACTTCCTGAAGGGAGGTTCCAAAGAGGATGGAAAGAGGCTGTTCACAGTAGTGACAGATGGCAGAACAAGGAGAATGGTCTCAAGTTACAGTGGGAGAGGTCTAGGTTGGATATTAGGAAAAACTATTTCACTAGGAGGGTGGTGAAGCACTGGAATGGGTTACCTAGGGAGCTGGTGGAATCTCCAACCCTAGAGGTGTTCAAGTCTCAGCTTGACAAAGCCCTGGCCGGGTTGATTTAGTTGGGATTGGTCCTGTCTTGGGCAGGGGGCTGGATTTGATGACCTCCTGAGGTCTCTCCCAGCTCTATGGTTCTATGAGTCTATGAAATGGTGGGAAATGGGCAACTGCCTTATGTTAATCCATGTAGCTAATTACTGGTGAGGTTTAGAAAATAGGTCATCTGAAGAAGTGGGTTGTGCCCATGAAAGCTCATGATACCATCTACGTGTTTTGTTAGTCTATAAAGTGCTACCAGACCATTTGTTGTTTTTTAAGTTTATCCTTATAGACTAACTCAGCCACCCCTCTGATGCTTCAGAAAATAGACACTCTTGTTCACCAAGAATTGCATGTAGTCAAGAGGCTTCCCAGGAACCATAGGCATGGGACGTAGCAATGTGGGGACCAGGATCAGCAAGTTATAACAGCAACTTTGCCCTGCTCCAGCAAAGTTCTGTCCCTGCATGCCACCCTCCTGCACTTCCCCCACCTCCAATGCGTCCCCCAGCCCATTTACTGCCTCGGGAAGATTTAAAACTGCCCAATGGCCCCTCTGCTACCACTGGCTCTCACACAGCTGCCTGCATGTCCCTGGGTGGGAGCGGCGGGGAGGATGTCTCCATGCGCTATCCCCACCCTCAGCACCCTTGCAGCCAACGGGAGCTACAGGAGCAGTGCCTTGGGGCAGCAGCGCATGGTGAGACCCCACCACCAACAACCTGGGTGCCACTGCTGGAGGGGGTTCCCCAGGTAAGCACCACATCTCCCTACAAATCCCCTCCCATCTCCAAACTCCCTCCCCCAAACCTCCTCTCCTTGCACCCCAAACTCCCCCCCCAGGGCCTGCACCCCTCACTACTCCTGCCCTACCCTCTGCTCCAGCCCAGATCCTGACCCCTCACCCACTCTTGCACCCAAATTCCCTCCCAGAGCCTGCACATCCTCCCGCATCCCAATCCCCTGCTCCAGCCCAGAGCCTTGCACCAAGCACCCAAAATCCCTCCCACAGCATGACCCCCTAACCCCTTTTGCACCCAGACTTCCTCCCAGAGCCTGCACCCTGCATCCCCTCCTGCACTCCAATCCCCTACCCACTCTCCCACCCAAACCCCCTCCCAGAGCCTTGGGCGAATGAAGATTCTGGGCATCACCAAAATGTCTGCTGCTGCCACACTCCCAGGTTTTCGCCAGGGCTTTGTTGCTAGCCCAGCACCCGGCAGTGCCAGCTGCCGGACCCACACCTGCGATTCCTGGCTGCCATGCCACCCCTCCCCTCGGTTCCCAGCTGCCATGCAGTCTGCACCCAGAGTCCCACCTGCTGTGCTGTTAAGCCGCCCCTCCCCCAGGCTCCCATCTGCCTTCCTCCCTCCCTCCCCCCTGCCAGCTTCCAGCCCTGAGGTTCCACCCCTGGCCCCAAGCCCACGCTCAGTTTAAGGGGCAGATGGGGCAAGGGGGCTGGCTAAAGGGCTCTTGGAACCAGATCCTTTTAATCTCAAATCTGCTTATGCTTTGTCAGGGGAAGTTTGAGCCACACAATTGAGAGCTCCAGTTCTAATCTAGGTCACCCTGATACTAAACACTGGCTGCACCTATGGACTAATTCTGAAATAACTCTTTGCAGTTCCAGAGCTCCCCATTTCTGCTGTGAAACTGACCTACAGACTTTATTCATGTCTGTCTGGGTAATGCTCTTTTAACCAATATTCTCTCTCTCCTTTTTTTTTTTTTTTTTTTTAAAGAATTGACTGTAAGCCCATATGTGGGCAAATATGCATGATCTTGGTGGTAATGGATCTAGTCCTTTGGGGCGGGCAGCACTTTTTCAAACAATGAACAACATTTTCAATAATCCCCATCATATCTGACTTGGCTGTCTGAGTGGGAGCCCATGGCTGGGTTGCTTTAAGGGAACTATGTTCTTTGCTTCCGGGTAACCAATAAGGTATTATAGAGGCTTTTCTGTTCTGTTCTTCACTTGGTGGATCTAAGTACTGAAAGATCTACTAGTTTGGGGGATTATCTGCCCCATTCTTTACAATTTTCCCTAAAACAAAATGCAGGACTATGTAGCACTTTAAAGACTAACAAGATGGTTTATTAGATGATGAGCCTTCGTGGGCCGGTCTGGCCGGACTATTTTCTTCCACTATTTGATCTGAGGAAGTGGGTCTGGCCCACGAAGGCTCATCATCTAATAAACCATCTTGTTAGTCTTTAAAGTGCTACATAGTTCTGTATTTTGTTTCAGCTACACCAGACTAACACGGCTACATTTCTATCAATTTTCCCTAACTGAGCCGTCTTGGCGTGGCCCCCATGGGATCCCAGTCACAGGTTGCGTGGGACCAGATTGGGTCCAGTGGAGACCAGGCTTTGGTCCTCCTCTTTTTCAGGTGTGACGAGACACATGTTTAAGTCCCACGAGCTCCCTTGAGAATCCACGAGCCAGTCAGCTGCTTGGCCCCATTGCTGGGGTGTGGGATTTACCGTCTGATTGTTGGGCATCATTTCGGAGGCTCGGATGGGCCGGTTCAGGCTGGGCTTTCCAATGTAAACATCCTGGGCTGGAGAGTAGGAAGACAAGAGCTTCAAGAGGGCCTGTGGGTTCAGGTAGTTATCATCATCCACATGGCAAAACCAACTGGCAACAGACAGGGAGACAGACGAGAGGAGATGAGGTCAAGAGGCTGCTGCTGACTCAGCTTCACCTCACAAGCCTTATTTATAGAGCCCTGCAAATCCACAGTTATCTGCTTTATATGTGCAGTATCCGCGTCCATGGATGTGTATATCTGCAGCTCATTTTTGCAGATACAGATGCAGATGTGGATGCAAAATTTTGTATCTGTACAGGGCTCTACTTATTTACAGTAGGGATGTCAAAAAGCAGAAAAATGATTAACCGCGTAACTGGTAACATTTCTATTGGTTACATAGTTAACCACAGCTCCCAGGGGGGCTGCTGGTGCTCCCGCAGCGCTTGGGGCTTCCAGGACTGCCATGGTTCCCACCTCTTTGGGACTGCCAGGGTTCCGGTCCCTCAGGGCTGGGCTTCCTGGCAGCCTTATGAAGAATTTAACCAATGCTGGTAACTGATAAGTGTGAGCTTATCAATTAACCAGCTATCCAGTTAACCTCTGACATCCCTAATGTATAGAGGTCGTGAAGGGCTTGAATCAGCACCTCTGTAAACTAGACCCTTCTTTGCCCTTTCCCACTGGAACGCCATTCACATTCTCCCCACCCCCCTTTAGTCACAGAAGCAGCTACCAGCTGGCAGTGACAGCTTCCCATTCCGGGCTGAGACGTTCCCTCCCATGCCCCTTCACGCAGATGTGAAGGCCACCCCTGTGTGTTCACCTCAGGCCGCTGGCCAAGAACGCATCAAACTCGGCGGCCATCTTGCAGGAGAGGGCTGGGTGGCTATGCTCTGAGGAGCAGTTTGTGAGCACCACATGGTCACCTGCAGGGAAAGGAGACAGAGCTCCAGGTCAATGCAAACCCACCCCACCCATCTCCAGCCTGGCTGGGCCAGGAAACCCTTCTGGCCTGAGAGAGCAGGGATCATTCAGAGTGTTAATTCAGTCCTGGCTGGCTCACATTCACACCCGGCTCACAAATAGGGTCCCCACATCGCTCTGGCCTTTTCCCTCCCCACCTTTCTCTCTGGATTCAATCTTCCTGTTCGCAACCCATGAGCTGCTTCCTAAGGAACACCAGCCTTGCCTGGGGGGCGAGAGGGGAGGAATCCCTGCTGCTGGGCTGAAGGGGAAGCTTGTCTCCTGGGGCTTTCAATCCCAGACTTCTCCCCACACAAGCAAGGCACCAGCAAGATCGAGCTCACTCATCGCCGATGGTGACACTTAGTCTGCACCATGCAGATGATCTGGTGAAGCATTAATAACACCACGGCATATAGGAGCCTCACGGACATTAATGATCTTCTCCGCGGGTCAGGCTAGAGCAGGGGTGGGCAATAATTTTTGATGGGGGGGGGGGCACTCCAAGAATTTGGAAAGTGGTCAAGGGCCACACACTTCCATGATATTAATGGAGAGGGGCGGGGTCTAAGATGGAAGTTGGGTGCAGAAGGGGCCTTATGCTGAGGGCAGGGGCAGCACACAGTCTCTCCCTCCAGGCTTGCAGCGTTCAGAGCAGCACACATGGCCCCTGCAGTCAGCTGCTCTGATCAGCAGCACGGGCAGAGAAGGCAGGGAGCCTGGGTGAGGAAACTGTTGGGCTGCTGGCCAGGACTCACTCAGGTAGGGGCTTCCCGTCTAGAATTTGCCTCTGGCACCCCAGCTCCGCCTTCCAGCAGGCAGCCCTTTGCCCTTCCATGCCTGCCTGTGAGGCAAGGAAGTACCATCTTCCCCATGCGGGAGCAGCCAGAGGGGAAGTAGCTTGACACAGGAAGCCTGTTGCAGAAGCAGGAATTAAACCAAGCTCTTCCAAATCCCAGCCCACGGCCTTAGCAACAGAACCTTCCTTCCCACCGGTGTCTGGGATGGCAGACAGGGAGGCCCAACCCCCATGTTACCAGCCAGCAGCTCTGCAGCTGGAATCCAACAGCTTCTCCCGGCACCTGCTGCGCCGGTCTCCCGTCTCCTTCCTTTCAAAAAGCAAGCCCGGCCTCCCGCCCCCTTTTCAGAAGGGAACTAAGCTGTACTGAGCCTCGTCCCTAGAGTGAGCCTGCAGGACTCCTGCTGGGGGCTCAGCGGGGTTCATCCTATCGCCCGGATCCAGCGGGGCACCCCGTGGTGGATGGGAGGGGGATAACCAGCCCTTACTCAGGGCCTGAATTCATGGTGCGGGGGCTACATGATAGGAAAGGCTGGGTTACCCATTCGCTTCTGCAGAGCTTTGTCTTCTTCATCAGTAAAGATGTAGGTCTGAGAAAACGGGAGAGAGAGGAGAGGGTGAGGCCCAGCTCTGGCTCCAAGCTGTCACCATACATCACCATACAACCCACCTCCCCATTCGGGCTCCTTGCAGCTGCCTGCCGCTAGGCTTAAGTTGTGCAGCCCAGAGGTTCTCTGGGCAGGGGCAAGTGGGATCCGCTGCCCCAGCTCATAGCTCACCTGCCTCTTCTGCTTCTCTTGCAAGGGGCTGGTGGATAATTAATCCTCTTTGAGCCCTGTGCCCTGCTGCTTCTCCAGCCTGCCCCAGCTTCAGTTCAGAGAGATTTCCCCTGTTCACATACCCAGCCCTCCTGTGCAAGAGGCAAGGGGAGTGGGGAGCCCTGGAGGCCAGCTACCCCCAACGCTGGGACCCCACTCCTGTATTCACACTGGGGAGACTCCCTGACAGCCAAGGAACCCAGGAATCCCAGCAGTCCCATTTTGGTCCCTGGAGTCTTGTTTGCTTCACAGAGCCCCCTCCCTTAACCCACCAGTGCAGGTGAGAGAACCCTATTCTGAGGGCTTCATTACAATACACACCAGTGTTACCCGCAGGGCCTGGGGTCCCGTCCTTGAGCAACCCACCCCCGTTGTGTTCCCCAACCAACACCCTAACTCCCATGGCTCTGCCACCTGGTGAAGGGAGAGCTTGAGGGCAGCCCCAATGTGCCGAGCCCGGGGAGGGAAGGCCCAGCCCGGGGGGTTGGATGTTGTCAAGCGGCAGATGAAAGCAGCAGCTTTGCGGTCAAAGGAAATGTGGGCTAAAAGGAGAACATCTGCTTGTGTGTATAGCAGCTCCCCAACCAACACCCTAACTCCCATGGCTCTGCCACCTGGTGAAGGGAGAGCTTGAGGGCAGCCCCAATGTGCCGAGCCCGGGGAGGGAAGGCCCAGCCCGGGGGGTTGGATGTTGTCAAGCGGCAGATGAAAGCAGCAGCTTTGCGGTCAAAGGAAATGTGGGCTAAAAGGAGAACATCTGCTTGTGTGTATAGCAGCTCGAACAGCTGAAAAAAGCTCCCTTCATGCGGAAAATGTGCTTTCAAGGAACCAAAGGGGCTGGAAGAAAGAGACACAAGCCTTAAACAATCTCCCCACCAGCTGCCCGCAAGCTGGTTAAACACAACGCCCAAGCCAGGGTGCCGGGGGGAGGGGGAGGGGAGGGCAGGAAGAGCACAAGAGCAGTCCGACAGGCACCACAGCAAACCACTCGGGCAGTGGGCCAAGGCAGCCCACACCCCTAGCTCTCAGTCCGGGTGCCGCTTCCCCCTCAGGCTACTGGACAAGGGGCGAAGGGGCCAAGATAGCACGGGGGGAAGCCAGCCTACGATCATTGGAATGGGCAGCCTTAGGGGAAGAGTTGTGAAGATGATGTGCTGAAGGGCAGACAGCCCCGAAGAGCCACAAGCTCTGAAGCCAGAGGGTGCAGCGGGCGGTGCCGAGAGTGCCAAAGGGAGAGACGCTGGGGGGAAGCAAGATCCCCCCTAGTGCAGTGAGGAAAGTTGCCTGACCTTCCACACAGGAGGGGGGAGCACTGTTTGACGAGGCAGTGGCGGGGGGAGAGGCGCACATCTGTGGGGTGAGGTTAAGGGAGAGATCACTCTCCCTCCCCCCAAACTCTGAAGCAGCTTTCCAGCTGGAAAAGCCAAGCCAGAGGTACCAGTGTTCTTTCCATGCTACGCAGCCCATTCCCCCCTCTTCTGTTCATTCGGAGCTCAGGGACACTCTCTTGTCCCCCAGCCCTTGTCCCTCCCCTGTGTCCTGAAGGTGACTGCAGCAGCAGAGCCAGTGTGGCAGCTGATAGCCCTGTCTCTGCCCCCTGCCGGGTGGAGTTGCTGGAGTAATGGCCTGCCCCATTTCCCTCAGCAGGGCTGCCTGGGAGGGCTGGGGCAGGAGAGAGCTGGCGGGGCACTTTTAGAAACCTGGCACTCGATGGTCCATCTCTCAAGGAGACACCTGCCTCCATTACCTATCAGAAGGTGCCTAGAGGGGGTTGCTGGGACAAACAGAGCCTCACACTCACCTCCCTCACATCCAGCAACCTCCAGACTAGGGATGCAAATTTTTATCAAAACAGTTAGCCAGTTATACAATTAAAATTATATTGTTTAACTGGTTAACCGTTGCTGGGCAACCAGAGAGAGGGATCATACTGGGGGTGCTGGGGCTGAGGCAATATAAAAGACCCCGCAGTGAAGCTCCCCAGGAGTGGGGCCAGAAGCCCCAGCCAGCCCCACTCCTTGGAAGGCTTTGCTGCAGGCTCTGAAAATCAGGTTGATCCACTTGGGGCCTCATGCAGATTCTCAGCTCAATGGCATTGCCACCCAAGCTGGCACTGATAATACAGACAGCTGATGCAAGTGCCTGCCTGCACAGGAGGAAGCTCTGTGGCTGAGCAGAAGCATGTCCCCAGACCACAAGAAGGGGAAGCTAAGTTAGCATGAGCAGCAGCAGAGTTTAGTGGAGTAACTGTAAGACTGAGAGCAAGTGATTCCTACTCCTAGCTCTGATACCAACTATCTCTGTGCAGATAGCCATGTCCGGTGTCCCTACCCTTTGTGCTTTCCTTTCCCCACCAAGCTAATGATACTTGCCTCCCTCACCAGCGTAGGTGTCCCAGGGATGCACAAATGCTGTGTGCTGCTAGCTGGGGACTCAAATTCCCCAGAGCGAACACAAAAGCCTTCACAGGATGGAGCCTGGTGTCCTCCACCACTCAAAGGGACACCTCTGCCTTGCAAATCAGACAGGCTGGTGTTTATTGTGCAAAACTTCCCTGGGGTAGAAAAATCCATGTTTTTCAAAAGCAAAGCATGCTTGGCGTTGCAAAATTTCTGGGGTTTTTCTAGGGTTGCCAGGCATCCGCTATTGACCCAGACAGTCCAGAATCTTCACGTCCTGTTTGGTAAAAAAATTCAGAACATACCAGACACCTAAAATGTCCAGTATTTTCTGATTTTTTTTCCTGGCCAGGAGGCGAAAATCCCAGGTGCTCACCTGGTTCTGTGGGGGAGCTGTCTGGCCCGGAGAAGGAAGACAAGATGGCAGACAGCAGCCTGTTAGAGCCAAAAAGCTCTTAAAGGGGCTATACTTTTTTATTGTTATTTTTGCTTAATAACTCTCTGGGTTCTTTTTTTTTTGGGGGGCTCAACAAGTTTGGTCTCCCCCCCTTTAAATCATCTGGCAGCCCTAGATTTTTCCCCAATAAAAACCTGAAGCTTTTGTGTTAGTTTTTCCTCTCACCCCTGTAACTGGGTGTGACTCACCACCATGGGGCTTCCTGCTGGACACTCTGGGAATCAGCTTTTTGGTGCTGGCATGCCTCCTTCTGGCTGGTGTCCCACCCATGGTTATCTATTTTCTCCACCTCTGGGTACTGCCCTACTACAGTGCCCCCTCACTCTGGTGTCCTCCCCCTTTGGAACTCCCCTGTGCCCACCTTGCCTCAGTGACCCACTACCAGGAATCATCTAGCCCCTTACCCCAGGTGCAAACTGCAGTCTGAAATGGCCACTCATCACTGGCAAAGGGGTGTGGATCTGCTTCTGCTGCCTCCCTGAAGCCTTAGTACCTTGAGGCCTCACTTCAGGCCCTGCAGCCTGGGCAGAACTGCCCCAGCTCTGCCTGCCTCTTCCCAGCACTGCTGTCTCAGGAAACCTCCCACTTCTCTAGCAGCCAGATCCCTCCTGTTTCCCAACCAGAACAAGAGAGTCAGTCCACCTCTCTGCTACTCCCTGAGCCTTTATTTATACTCCCTTCAGCTGGGCCCTAAGTGTACCTGCCTCCGCTGTGGGGCTTTGCACAGCCCTCTTCCAGGGCTGGGTTTTTCTTTTAAAGAGCCAATGTGGGGCCTATTTGAAACCATGGGAAGGTGGGCTGGTGAAGCCCATTTTCCCTTCCACCACTATCTTTGTCACTAGCATGATAAGAAAAACATGGCAAAAGGAGGGGAAAAGAGGACAGAACTGCCCCAGCTCTGCCTGCCTCTTCCCAGCACTTCTGAGTCTCAGGAAGCATCCAGTTCCCCTAGGAGCCAAGTTCCTCCTGCTCCCCAGCTAGAGCAAGAGTGTGTGTTTTCCTTCCCTCCAGGAGCCCTTTATACAGCCCCAGTTGGGCCCTAATTGACTGTATTTGCCCCATCTGCAGGCTCCACTCTCTTAGCCTTCTCTCAGGGTTGGGTTTTAACCCTTAAAGGGCCAGTGTGGTGAAGCCCATTTTCCCTTCCACCACTATCTTTGTCACTAGCATGATAAGAAAAACATGGCAAAAGGAGGGGAAAAGAGGAAAATCTAAAAGTTTTCAGTAGAATAAAATTCAACAGACAGCACATTTTGAAAACATCTCACACACACACACACACACACACACACACACACTTTTTTTTCAGACAATTCTACTTGCAAAGGGGCTGTGAAAGACCTTGAGAAGTCATTAAGTCCAACCCCCTGGGCTGAGGACAGACTAAATAAACTCATCTGAAGAAGTGGGTTTTGCCTACAAAAGCTCATGATACTATATGTATATTTTTGTTAGTCTCTAAGGTGCCAGAGGACTACTTGTTGTTTTTAAAGTTACAGACTAACACGGCTACTCTGTTCTTAACAACTTCTAATGATGAGGATCTCACAACCTTTCTAGGAAGCCTGTTTCAGAGCTTAACTACCCTTACAGTTAGCCACTGTTTCCTTATACAGGCAGTCCCCGGGTTACATGGATCTGACTTACATCGGATCCCTACTTACAAACGGGGTGAGGCAACCCCGCACTAGCTGCTCCCGCCCCCCTGCAGACCAGGGAGACACGAAGCTAGCACCCCCTCTATCCCCCAGCAGATCAGGGAGACGCGGAGCGGCTTTTCTCAGCAGACACCTCAGCTTGAGAATAAAGGACTGAGGGAAGTGAGGTGTGGGAGAATAAAACTGAGCTCTGGAGAAATGTTTGGCTAGAGTTTCCCCTACAATATGTACCAGTTCCGACTTACATACAAATTCAACTTAAGAACAAACCTACAGTCCCTATCTTGTACGTAACCCGGGGACTGCCTGTATCTAAGCTAAATCTCCTTTGCTATAAAATAAGCATATTACATCTTGGCCTACTTTCTGGGGGCATGGAGACCAAATGATGTACATCCTCTTTATAGCAGCCCTTAACATATTTGAAGACCGTTATCAAATCCCTCCCCATTTTTTTCAAAGGGAAAATCCCTCATAGGTAAGGTCTTCTAACCCTTTTACCATTTTTGTTGTTCTCCTCCAGACTCTAATTTGTCCCCATCTTTCCTAAAACGTGTACACAATATTCCAGCTAAGGCCTCACCAGTGTGAAGTAGAGCAGGACACTTACCTCCCATGTCTTACATACAGCATGCCTGTCAAGGCACCCAGAAATGGTATTAGATTTTTTTTGCCACTGCATTACATTGTTGACTCCTATTCAATTTACAATTAACTGTGACATACACAAAGCTCTTTTCCAGCAGAGCTGCTCACTAGCCAGTTATCCCCCATTTTGTAGTTGTGCATTTGATTTTTCTTTCCTAAGTGAGGCACTTTGCACTTGTCTTTCTTGTATGTCATCTTGTTAATTTCAAGACCAGTTCTCCAATGTGTCACGGTACTTTTGAATTCTGATCCTGTCCTTCCGTGTACTTGCAACTTCTGCCAGCGTGGTGAAGTCTGCAAATTTAATAGATTTCCCACACATGTAGACAAAGGTCAGGTAATTTGGGATGTCCCGGTGAATCTTCTCACTCCCCCTTCCCCTGGCGAGACTGGACAGCTACGTCTACACTGGCATGAATTTCCGAAAATGCTTTTAATGGAAAAGTTTTCCGTTAAAAGCATTTTTGGAACAGAGCATCTAGATTGGCACGGACGCTTTTCCACAAAAGCACTTTTTGCGGAAAAGCGTCCGTGCCAATCTAGACGCGGTTTTGCACAAGAAAGCCCCGATCGCCTTTTTTGCGCAAAACAATACTGCGTTGTCTACACTGGCACTCTTGCGCAAAAGTATTTGCGCAAGAGGGCTTTTGCCCAAACGGGAGCAGCATAGCATTTCCGCAAGAGCACTGATTTCAGACAGTAGGAAGTCAGTGTTCTTGCGGAAATTCAGGCGGCCAGTGTAGACAGCTGGCAAGTTTTGCAACTTGCCAGTCTAGACGCAGCCCAGGATAGGAAAACTGTTTTGCAAGCCCACTCGGAAACACTGTGGCCAGCTGTAATCCTGGCACCCATGTGCCACAGCTCAGCCCACATAACACATACATGCCAAGAAGTGTCAAGTATGGTATCTGCGAAGAGCCAATAGAGAGTAGAAGGCAGAGCGCTGAGGGCTTGAAGAAGTATGTCTAGAAGAGGAAGTACGATATTTCAGACACTAACACGCATAGAGGAAGTAGGTTCAAAATAGGACGTGGCTTCCTCTGACAAACCACAACTGACTAGGCAGTGGAAAGCACCAGACAGTTACAGCTCAGCGCGTGGAGGGGAAACGGCCCTCACCCAGAATGCCCTGCTCTGTCTCAAGTGCTGTTTTTCACTGTACCCCCCACAAACTCTGCTCCACATTTCAGTCCTGATTCTGCAACTGGCTGTGCCTGGGCAGAGCTGTGAGCACCCCTCCCCCCGACTCCTGTTGAAAGCCACATGCAGGATAGGGCCTTAGGCAGCACCTGTGTTTGCAGTGCCACAGGGCAGTCAGAGATCCCTCCCAGCTAGGGTTGCCAGATGATTTCACCAAAAATACCGGACCCTCCACCCCAAAAATAAAAGTACCAGGAAAATTTTGTTGAGCCAAAAAAAAAAAAAAGTGCTACTCCCCTGCCACTCCCGCCGCATGTCTGACGGGCACGGAGCCAGGAAAAGCAGAAAATACTGAACATTTTATATGTCTGGTATTTTCTCAATTTCTTTACCAGACAGATGGTGCAAATAACAGACTGTCCAGTTCAATATCGGACACCTGGCAACCCTACTCCCAGCACCCCTTGCAATGATTTTGAGATTAGTAAGAGCAGGCACTGGGCAGCGGAGTTGGTACAGATTGTACCTCTCTAGCCCAGCACCCTCAGGATCTGACTGGTGCCAAACCAGAGAATTTTCCAGAATGGACTCTTGGAAGACATTTCGGGCTAAATTAGAGCTAAATAACAGCACAGAACACGGAGAGCCAGGACTAGTGACTGTAAACACACTTTATGGGACTGTGGGAAATTTGGCCACACCCATAAGCTGACACCCGGCTAACTAAAATCATGTCTGACCATGGATATTGCCGGACCAGAGAGTGCTGGACTAGAGAAGTTAAACCTGTACCATGGCCTCTCCTACTTGATCTATTTAAACAATGCAAATGCCTAGAGTCTACAACCAGCTCCTTGTGGGCTGTCCCTGTTACATGGGGCGATCCCAGGAGGAAGAGGGTGTTTTCCCCCAGCTATTATTAAGTTTGTTTTGAGTCACAAGTGTGCACTGGCCTAATGCGCCACAAACCAGCTCTCCCCCCAGGATGTTAGTCTCTGAAGATTCTGCTGGATGAAGGGGGAAGGACCATGCAGGTTCCAGTACCAACACACAGAAACAGCAGCCCATGCACACAGAGCAAGGCTGAGGAACTGCCACCAGAATGGGTGTGAACGGACTTGGTGCTCCAGCAAAGCGAGGGACTGACAGCACTGAGACAGACCTGGGCCATGTAGGCACTGGGCGTGCACCCTTATGCAGCCCCACTGCACCCTTCCTGCAGTCCCAGCCCTGAACCCCACACACTCAGACTCTGCCACTTTGCAGCTGGGCTAACCCCGGCTTCTCTGCACTCCTCAGCCAACACACCACATCTTGTCCTCAAGCATCCTTGATCACTCCAGGCCCCAGTAGTCCTTCCTGGACAGACAGCCTCATCCAGATGTGGATTTGTGAGGTGTACAAATGGCATGAGGCGGGAGGGAGCAGCTAGTCTGAAACCTCATGAAGTCATTCCACTTGAGAGCTGAGATCAGCTGCTGGAATCAGGCCTCTGAGGGTGAAAGCTCAGTGCACCAGACCCCTCGGTGCCCCCCCCCTGTATTCTCCAACCCCAGCAGCTGATGGAAGCACAGCTGCCACCAATGTGCAACACTGCTCCCCTAGTGCAGCTGATTGAAAGCAGTGAATTGCCACCCTGAGGCTGTGCTTAGGTGAGATGCTGACAGTCCCTGTCACATCCCACTTCTCTGCTCAAGCCCATGAGAACAGCCAGGTTAAACCCGTGTGTCTCTCTACAGGGCTTTCTCCTGAGCCTGAAGGTGGTTCAGATCCAGTTAATAAAGCCCCTGTCCCTCTGCACAGTGGAATCAAGGGTTAGACATGATGTAGGAGACGCAATGAATGGGACAGTTGTTCTTAACCCCCTTTCAGCATGACTAGTTCATCAATATGAGTCCAGGGCTCCTTATTCCCCCCCTCAGGCATTAGCTTCCTCCTGGCCCCAGTGTGCCCACCAACGAGCCCGTTATTGTAAATGAACCCCTCCATCCCCACCTCATACACACCTGCTCTTTGGCCTCGGATATCCAAGTGTCCAGCAGCAGTACCAGCCTGGTCTGGTGGAACCTCCTGGTTGTCTTCACAGCAATGAAAACCTCTCCCAGCTCCAGGTCTCTCCGGACACTAGAGCCCACCTTGGAAAGGCCCAGTGGCTCTTTCAGTTCCTGACACCTGTTGCTGTCTCCCAGCACCTCCGCTGGGGGCAGTTCCGCCTGGTGTGCTGAGATCTCCGATGTCCCATCACCTGCTGCTTGGTCGTGGGCCACCTTCTGAGTGCCATGATGCCGCATGGAGAGGAAAGCCATAGTGACAAGGAGCAGGGCTGCTCCGGAGAGCCAGCGGAGGAGATGCTGACGCATCACTGCCAGCTTCCAACGCCATGGCAAGAAACCTAGCAGGCAAAGGGAGCTTCTTCCGCCACATCCCAGGATAGGTGGGCCCCACACTGGCCTCATGCCTCCCAAAGGGGAGGCTAGAGAGAGGACAGATGGGCTGAGGCCCAACTAGGCCATGGAATGTGATGGGAGAGGAGCAGAAAGTGGCAGGGACATTTTAAGAGAGCCAAACATCAAGGCTGAAAGCGACAATTGTCCCTGGGGATGGTGGCTGCCACCAGGAAAGAGACATAGGGACCAGGAAGAGCTGACTGCAGGTGGCAGAGGACAGGTGACAGGCAGACACCTGAAGGCCAGCAAATTACACAACCAGAGCTGAACTAACCCAGACCCCAAGCTCCTAGCTGAGAGATCCAGGGCCCTGGGTGTGGGGCTGATCAGGGTGAGAGGTCAAGGGTCCAGGAGGAGAGTCCATTCCGTGCCAGGGGCCGAGGATCCCAGGTTTCCAGGAGGCGTGATGGGGGAATATCCAGGAGAGTGACTCTGGTTTCCAGGCTGGAGGCAAAGGGCCTGACCCAGCATCCAAGGATGCACCAGGGCAGATCCCAGGCTAGAGGCTGAAGCAGGCAAGAGGCTGGGGAGAGCCGGCTGCAGGGAGTGAGCAAGCACGCTGCCTTCCACCGGCTCTGTCTGTTCAGCTCTGCTGACTCCCTCTAGTTAGACACCAGGCCCCGCCCACTCCTTCCTTGGGCTCAGGGTAGGCGGGGCCCTTCAGCCTGTGGTGGGGAATCTGGGTAGCTGTGCCTCTGCTCACAGCTGCTGCCCTGAGGGCTGCTCCTCCTCTCCAGCCAGGGGCAGGGCTCCCACTGGACTGGAGCCTCCCTGAAGGAGGAAGTCTCCAAGGCGACTGGTGCCTGCCAGAGGAGGGGGCGCGGGGAGGGCCACCCAGAGGAACAGAGAAGGAGCACCCCAGTTAGCAAGCAGAATTTTGGCAGGGGCAGTGCACCTCCTGAGTGCTGCCACAAGTGGCCTGTGCTAGGGCCCCAAGGGGAACGTGCTTCTGCCCTCACCCTCAGAATTGAGTCAGGCTGTCAGGGGGAATCTGGCCCACACTGTGGCCGCTCCACATTGGCACAGAGCCAGCACCACAACCCTCCTCCCCCCCTCTCCCCCCCACACATAAAGGCTGTGTCTAGACTGGCAAGTTTTTCCGCAAAATCATCTGATTTTGCGGAAAAACTTGCCCGCTGTCTACACTGGCCGTTTGAATTTCTGGAAAAGGACTGATGATCTCATGTAAGATCGTCAGTGATTTTCCGGAAATACTATGCTGCTCCCGTTTGGGCAAAAGTCTTTTTCCGAAAGACTTTTGCCCAAAAGGGCCAGTGTACACAGCATAGTACTGTTTTCTGCAAAAAAGCCCCGATCGCGAAAATGGCAATCGGGGCTTTTTTGCGGAAAGCCACGTCTAGATTGGCCACAGACGCTTTTCCACAAAAAGTGCTTTTGCGGAAAAGCATCCTGCCAATCTAGACGCGATTTTTCCGAAAATGCTTTTAATGGAAAAGTTTTCCGTTAAAAGCATTTCTGGAAAATCATGCCAGTCTAGACGTAGCCAAAAGGCAATATGCTGGCAGGGCTGGGGGACGACTGAGAAGGGAAGGACACATGGCCAGGAGTTCCAATGCCCACCTTTGCGGCTTTTAGAATGGCCCATAGGAACCATGTGCAAGCTGGCTGGGACAGCGCCCTGCCACAGGAGAATCAGGGGGCACATTGCCTCCCCGGTCAGTCTCGGTGCCAGGCTCAGCACCGATGCAGCGATGAATTCCCCACAAAGGGGCTTTCCCAGCTCCCCCTTCCAGCTGCCAGGGCATCTCCAGCTCCAGTCTCAGGTTCTGTAGGGCTCTGTGACACAAAGCAGCTCGGAAGCCATCTAAACTGGCTCATGACCACTCCTTGCCCCATCAAATGGAACTGTTTCACGCAGAAAAGGGGACTGGTACGGCCTCCCTACACTTCCGTGATCCTCAGCTGTTGGACCTGTGCCTTGGGCCCATGGACAGTCGAGCATAACTTAGAGCAGCCCTAAGGTTTACTGCCATTCTCACCCTCCTCTTTTTCACATAGCTCAGCTGCAGCTGGGGATCTTGCCCTTGGCTTGGATATGCAGCTCACTGTACCCTCTAGACCTGCTCAGAGTAAACTTTTTCCACACCATGCTTAGGCTGACAGGTGGCTGTGTACACTCCAGGTGCTAACGGTAGCTCCAGTGGCACTGAGTCAGTGTGAGCAATGGCAGGGAAGTTTTGCAAACTGCCACTAGAGAAGGCTGTAGCTCATGAAGGACTTGGAAATCTACCCTTCAGCCCTTCCCTGCATGAGCACGCAGACACACTCCCTGGCATAGCCCGTCGCCTGAGGCCAGGTAGAACAATTTTTCTAAATGACTCTTTACACTGGGATCATACAAGACTTTTACGGCTGGTAATTGGTGCCCATAGCTGCTAATGGCATTCCACTTTTTCCTTAGCCCGTGACTCATTCCTCTACAGCAGGCAGCAGTACCTCCCTGGGGCAGGGAAGTCAGGCACCCCACAGAGACGAGTGAGTAGGACTGGCGCCAAGGAACATTGCTGGATTAATGTTTACCTAGGATCCCTCTTTTCCCCACCACCCTCATCTGGAAACCACAGGAGCTGGGTTTATGGAACTATGGAATGGACTAGTGTGACCTCTGAAACATGCCAGTAGTAAATGGAGTGACTGCAGGAATCCTGGCAAAAAGAGGCAGTGTTGTCTAGTGGTTAGGGCAGGGGAGGGGTGTGAGGGAGAGCACAAGGAGGGTCAGGAGTTCCAGTGTTTTATTCTGAGCTCTGACAGCCTCACTTTGCGATGTTATAGAAGTCATCCTACTCTCCCTTGCCTCAGTTTCCCTGGCTTTAAAATGGGGATGACACATCTACAGGGCCCTTTCAGATTCACATCTGTTGCCATAAGGTCTGATGACACTGGTGGCCAAGATGACAGTTTACAATGGGGGGGGGACAAATCTAGTCCACCAGATCTACTCCACCAGTTTAGCCCCTGGTGGGCCCCCACCACTGTATTTACCTGCACAACTGCAGGTACCAGTGATTGCCGCTCCTGTTGGCCACAGATCATGGTTCCCAACCAATGGGAGCTATGGAAAAGGTGTCCCAAGCCACACCACTTCCTGCCACTCTCATTGGCTGGGAACGGCCAATGGGAGCTGCAGTCACTGATACCTGCAGCCGTGCAGGTAAATATAGTGGTGGGGGCCCGCCAGGGGCTAACCCTGACAAACCACTGCTGTGTTACTGCCCACCCCTGGTTTACATTACATAAGAACATAAGAACGGCCGTACTGGGTCAGACCAAAGGTCCATCTAGCCCAGTATCCTGTCTACCGACAGTGGCCAGCACCAGGTGCCCCAGAAAGGGTGGACCGAAGACAATGATCAAGCGATTTGTCTCCTACCATCTCTCTCCAGCCTCTGACAAACAGAGGCCAAGGACACCACTTTATCCCCTGGCTAATAGCCTTTTATGGACCTAACCTCCAGGAAATTATCTAGCTTCTCTTTAAACTCTATTATAGTCCCAGCCTTCACAGCCTCCTCTGGCAAGGAGTTCCACAGGTTGACTACACGCTGTGAAGAACTTTCTTTTGTTAGTTTTAAACCTGCTACCTATTAATTTCATTTCTGCACTAAGCAAGACCATCTCTGGGAGTCTAGCATCTCCCAAGCTCATGTAGGACATTCCCTGATGCGTGTATGTGTAGAACCCTTGGAACAGCAACAGCACATGCTTTCGGTGGTGGGGCACAGCCGTGGCCCTCAGAGGTGCACTCTTCTAGTTATCCAGACTGGGGATTATTGCAGTGCACAGAGCTCCTTGCTTTCAGACTGCTCAGGAGCCTGACCCCCTCCACTCCACTCCCTTTGTCCCTTCATGTCTCTCTTCCCCAGCCTGCCTTAGACTCTCCCTCTGGCTCTGTTCTTCTTTTCCCTCCATCTCCTGAGAGGAGGGGGCAGCCGGGGGCTGGCAGCGCCAGAGCAGTGGAGTGAGAAAAGCCTCTGGTCTAAGGGTCAGGCAATCCCCAGCCTACCAGAAGCCCTGCTGGCTCCCCCTCTCCTACTGGTCCCTGGAGAAGGACTCAGATGGCAGAGGCTCCTGGCGGTAACTGTAGCTACAGGGACAAAGGCTCTGGAAAAGCCTGGAAAATGCCTCAGTGTTCCCCTGACTTTCCCAGGGAGGCACCAGCTGCCCAAGTCTGCTGGAGAGAGAGCTGGGAAAGCCATGCAGGGGGGAGATCAGGTTAGGGGAGGAGAGAAATCCACCAGCTCCCCAGTCCTGCTGGTAACGCAAGCAGGAGCCCTTCCTCCGTTCCCATTGTCAGTAGTATTTAATTCTCTTTTATGTGCAGGTTTCCAATAAAAGGGTCCATTAATAATTTATAGGCCATAAAGATTACAATTACCACCCAATGAGGATGTCTGACAACCCCCGCGTAGTGTCGCTCTGCCTGCGGCGGGCATGTGTAGCACCTCCGCTTTCATCAGGACATCAGCTGAGGTAGACAGGATGCCAGAGAGAGCCATGATGGGGAAGGGGAGAAGGACACTAGGGTGGGGTGGAGTGGGTGAAGGGAAAAATTGGGAAAGATGGAGAATCTCTCTCTCTCACATACACACACACACACCCCACACACCCCTTTCACAGAATGCCCTCTTTTCCCCTCGTGGCCAGTTCTCAGACTGGGCCTAGAGAGGGTCTGGGTCTTGGAAGAGCAGCGTCTGCAAGCTGTGAGGGGGATTCTTAGTGGGAAGAGGAAGGAAATCCCTCCACTAAACCTGGACATGAGGGGAAATCCAAGTCGGTGTAGTACCCACAGCCTGGCCAGTCTCCAAGCAGCATGAAATAGGCCCACTAAACTCCCTGACACATGAGGTGCCATCTTGTCCCTCCAGACAACTGTTGATGGGAAAGACATCCCAGTGCAGCCGATCAGGGAGAAGTGATGCTGTTTCTGGAAGATGAAGGAGAGAAGCCAAGTGTTCTCCAGGCATTGCCCTCAGGAAAGGAAGCCAGTGCCCGACTCTGGCATATGGCGCCTCCCAACATGAAGGCACAGCCCCAGCTCAAAGGGGTCAGGGATCACAGGTCACCATCCTCAAGCCACACAATCCGGTTCTGCTCTTGGAAGATGCGGAGCCGCACCACTTTCACCAGTTCCTCCACGTGGCACCAGGACTGGGCATCCACGCAGGCCCATGAGTAGGGCAAAGCATGGAGAGTCTGCTCAGCGCTCCGGCAAAGCTTTACCACATCAGAGTCCCGCTGGCCTGGCTTCCGCAGCAAGCTCCTGACAGAGAAATGGAAACACGGCCCTAAACGTTACCCACCCAGTGTACCCCAGACAGCGCTCCTGCTCCCTTCCCTCCAGCACATCCACCCCACCCAGGTGTGGCCAATTATCAATTTGGGGGCCCCCACAAGAGTGTCAGAAAACTGGCTCTGCCCCCTGTTCCTCCTCTGCTCGTCCCGCCTCTGCCCACTCTCTCCCCTCTCACAAGGCACCCCGCCTGCCATTCACACCTCTGCACCCCCTGCAGGTACCCGCATCTGCCACTCACACCTCTGCACCCCCTGCAGGTACCCGCATCTGCCACTCACACCTCTGCACCCTCTCCACTGAGGCATCCCTGCCCGCCATTTGAGGAGCAAACAGCAGGCAAGGGAAGCTTGGGGAGAGGGGGTGGAGATGGGTGTGATGGACACAGCGTATCAGGGGTTGGGGCTGATTGGCCAAGCGGGAGCAGGACCTCAGGCAGAGTGGGGGTGGAGCGTGGGCAGTGCCTCGAGGGGAGGAGGCCCAGCAGGGCCAGGCCCTGGGGCAGAACCAGTGTGGGCACTGGTGGGCCCACACACACACTTGGGGAGCTTTTGGTACTTGCTCCCAGCCTCCCTAAATGCAGGAGTGATACACCAGCCACACCCTGCCACCAGGGGGCTCCACCCCTGCTCCTCCCCTTTCTGCAAGCCCCACCCTCTGGCCTGGCCAGAAGCTGAACCATTGTAGGGAGCCCTGGATCTTCCACCTGCCCCAGTGAGTGCTGGGGGCCTATCCTCTGCTCCTCCTCTCCTCTGGGGCCCTGCCGCCCTGCTCCGCCTCTTCCACCTGAGGCCCCACCCCTGGCCAGGCTGGAAGCTGAAGCCCAGTGAGCATATTGCCACCCACCCCCAGCCGACAGTCACTTGCCCAAGCCCTTCCCAGCCTCCCCTTGCACAGAGCTGGCCCCTCAGTCCCTCTCCCCATGTGGAGCTGGTCCAAGCCCTGCTGCTCACCTTCCCCTGAGCTCCCTTTTGGCAAAACTGGGCATCTGTCCCATTGCAGCTAGCCTGTGGACAGGACGCCTAAAGGATGCCTATGGACGGGACAGTTCCCACTACTGATGTTAGCCGCGGGGTGGCCTGGGGGATTACCTGGGAGGCCTGGGGCCAGCAGCAGGGCCTGGGCCCCCAACTCTCACCATGGCAGTGGAAGCTGTGGGAAGCGGAGCAACCCAGCCACCTGGTCTGCTCACTGCCATCTCCCAGCCGGGTCACTCCGCTGCACTGCTGCACCCCAGCCCTAGCCCGCTCCGCTCTGCTCCCCCGTGATGGCGGGATGGAGCAGGCTGCTGTGTCGCTCCACTTCCCACAGCTCCTGCCATCGTGATGACTGCTTGGGGGCCCAACCCTTGCTGCCAGCCTGTGCCACCCCAGCTCACATCTCTCAGGGGAGGGGGCTTGGGAGAAGGGACACAGGGGGGTGGGGTCTGGGGCAGGTTGCCCTGCACGTCCCTAGGGACAGCCCTTGCCCAGTTTTGCCAAAAAGTCAGGATGTTGGCACAGAGCTTAAAAAGGGGGCTGTCCTGGTCAAAATGGGGTGTATGCTTACCTGAGCCACTCAGGGAGCCCAGACTGCTGGGGGGAACCCCAGGCCCTGCACCTGCCCTGGGCGGGAAGCCCAAAAGCAGCCCCTGGCATGTGTCCCTGCCCTCCAGAGCATGCTGTCTGGGGCAGGTGGAGGCACCAAGGCTCTGCCCAGTAGCTCAGCTGCTGACCAAGCCAGAGGGTGGGGCTTGCAGTAAGGGAAGGAGCAGGGACGGAGACCCCTGGTGGGGGGGGGGGAATATACTTTGTACCTAGAGCCCCAATAAATCTTAATCTACCTCTGGCTCCTGCTCCCTTCCCTATAGAGCCTCTTCCCCTCCTGCCTGCCCCCTCCCTTTGTCCTCTCTTTGAGCATGAGCCAGTCACTCTTTTTTCCAGGCTATGACCTCTGCTCGAGTCCTTTGAAGGGCTTTTCGTACCTGAGTCCCCTGACGTTCTTCTCGGTGACCTCCACGTGGATAATGATGGGGTATATTTCACTTTTAATTAGATCCCTCACTCTCTGGAGGCCCAGCTCCAGCAGGCAGTGTTTATTCTGCAAGGAAATTGCATAGATTTACTGATGTAAATGGAAAAGAAATAACCCAAAGTCCCTAACAGTTCCATTAAATCAAACCCCATGCTGGGCGATATCATTGCTTTTCCACTAGTAATTCCATTACACGTGGATTTACAGCTAGCCCCAAGAGGGAATCAGAGAATTAAAGAGCAGGGTCATCTGATACGTAACAGGCTGTGTGTCCAGCCTTGCCTGAGGGTCCTTCTAGCCCCTCCCTCTTCTTATGCATGTGCCGCATGCATCTCTGGGCCTTCTAGGGATTTTCTCACCGAGCCCATGCCCTCCTCATTCCATCCCCTCTTGCTGGGATGGAGCAAACCCCACTGATTAATTAGTGCTTAGCATAATTAGCATTAATACCTGCCCCTCCCTCTTTGAGTGGGGCTTGATAGTGATTCTATAAAAAGCCAAAAGCCGACACTTCCCGGCAGCCTCAGCGTCTGATGGAGGAAGCTAGTGGCTGGAGAACTCTTTTGAGGGGTCCCAATGCTCTCTTCATTGACTCCTTTCCTTCATCCTGCCGTACTCCCCATTCAGTGCTCTCTTCCCATCCTCCCTTTCTCCCTTTCAATAATCCCATCCCCTTCATAGCACCCATGGGACCTCCCGCTCCTGCCCCATGCCCGCTTGCACCCAGCAGGCAGTGACCAGAAGCCACTGCCCTCCTCTCCGCACCTTGCCGATACACTCCCGGATGGTGTGGATCTCTCTGCTCTCCCTCTGGTCCTGGAGGGAGCCTGGAGCTACACCGTTCCCCTGGGGAGGAGCAGCTGGGTCAGCATTAGCAAGCATCTCTGCGGAAGGAAGCAGAGCGGGTTGGCTGTGACAGATAATGGCAATTTTCTGCAATATCTGAGACACACGCCTTATTGAATTAAGTTAAACCACACTGAATTAGGTTTCAGTGTCCTAGGAGTTCATTGTATTACAAATGCAGCTGTTTACCTGTTAGTGTAGGGTTCTATTGTATGTCTCTAGGACACATGACTGATATAAGCCCTGGAGAGTGTTATAAGCATCACAAGATAATTTGAAACAATGTGCCAGAAAAACCAAGTGGGATCTCTGTACTTGGGAGGAAGGGAGGGCAACTTCTCACCTCCGGACCCTGCCTTTTGTAGCTGCGCCCTGAGGAGAAAGCCATGGTTACATGAGGACCAAGGACCAAACTATGTATGAGTGACTCGCATTAGGAGCGGAAGGTGTGGAGCATGTCTGAACTAACAGCAGTTATGGATCTGTGATCACAGGGGGAAAACCCTTGGTGGGATCTTACGGACTGATCACCGGCCAGAGCCCTTGTTGGAGTGGAGTGGTTTCTGGGAAGCTTATTAGCATGCACGTAGGTGCTTTCCTTCTTGTTAAATGTTTTCTATGGAATGCTCTTACCTTAAGAATAAGTGTGCTTGTTTAGGAAGCGTGGTGTGGTAATTTAACTGTGGGTTATCACGCTGTGTTTAGCCTCCGAGGAAGGAAGCAAAGCTGACTTGCTGAGACTCACTGCCCTGCTGGGGGATATCAAAGGGAGGGAGCTGTGCAGCCTGGAAAAACCCTGGTCAGGATGGAGAGAGCAGCAGGTCCCATCCCAAGAAAGGAGACAGCTGAGGAGCCCGAAGCCTGCGAGTGGGTCCCCATGTTGGACTACCATAGGGAATACAGGTGCAGTTGCCTGAATCATGGCATTGGCTATGCGGCAAAAAAATGCCCATAAAACTTGCCTTCTCCCTGAGCAGAGCAGGCTAGCCAGAGGGGGTTCTTGTATCCACACCAAATTGAGGCCTACAGCCCTTCTAAGTGATTTTCATAAGTGGCCCAATTGGCACCCAACAATGTGGTGTGAGAGTGGGACCCTAAGGATGCAGGACAGGGCATCCACAGGACAGCACACAAGCTGTGCAGGTCACACGGCTCGTGAGTGCAGCTAGACACACAACGGGTTCTTTCAAAGCATTCCTGGGCGATGGAAAATGGAGATTTTCAACCAAAAATGTTTTTGTTGTTGTTGTTGGGTTGTTTTTTAAAATTTTTGAGCGTGCACAACCCACATTTTCTGAAGGGAAACACCCACGCAAAGGGGGTAGTGGTGGGGGGTTAGTTTGCATAGAAATTTAATGTAGTAACAGAAATCACTTCCCAACCAGCTGTGCTAATCAGTAAAACACCAATGAGAGAGAGAGGTGTCCTTCCGGGAATGAGGGAGAGCATGGTGTCACAGCTGGTTCTCATGGCCGCCTGGAGGCAAGCAAGGAAGAGACTGAGCTAGCGGAGTCGCAGTACTTCAGGCTAAAGCCAAGGGGCTCCCATCAAAGAGGGCAATTTGGAGGAACCTACTAGAGCGACCACCATCCAAGCAAAGGTGCTCCAGCCAGACCAAGCAACTGACTGTGTCCCCAGTGGCATGGAAGAGCTCGGCCATAGGGAAGCACTGCAGCCAAGATGACAATGAGAGGCATCAGAGATTTCAGAAAGGCACAAACGAAATGGGACGCTAGCTGGTTAGGAGTGGCTGAAAGACAAACTAGCAGCAGCTGGTGGGTGGGAAGAGCCAGACAGCATTGCATTGGCTGCTGAGAGAGATAATGAGACATCTTTCCCCATCCCTGAAGGACCTGCAAGTGCTCTTCTCAGATCTCCTGGGTTCTTAGACAGCTACCGCACTTGTCTGGAGAGAGCCTCCCATGGGCATGGATATCATCAACTCTAGAGATAGGAACGACTGATCTTCAACATTATCATGGCCCTCACCCTGCTAAGCAGCTGTGAATTAGCAGGAGGAAAAAGGTAGCCCGCCCCCAAGAAAGGCCCTGTGATTAGCGCAGAGACTGGGACTCAGCACTGCTGGGTTCTGTTCCAGACTCCACCACACGCAACCTGTGGGGCTCTGGTGAGTCACCTGATTGCTTCTGTTCATCAGCTGTGCACACGTGAAAGTCCAGGCGTGAGGTGGGCAGGTCCAGCATGTTCCTGATGAGCCTGGATGCTATGCAGTCAGGTGAGAGCACCACCGGGCGAGGGGCCTGCACCGCCAGGGGGCGCACGAGGCTGTAGGGCTTTGGGCTCCTCTCTGGGTCTGGGTGACAGGTAAGTGAGCTAAGAGCAGTCAGCTGCACAGAGATTGTTACTTTCTCCCCACGTCATAGGCACTGCTGCCACCTGCACCCCTCCCCGCAGTAGCGAGAGCCACCCTACCCTCTACTTCTCCCCCCGCCAGCCCCACCCTTCACCCCAACCCCGCCGCACCCACTGCCAGCCCCAGCCCCATGCGCCTATTACCACAACCCCTCTGCTTCCCCCATACTCCTCCAAATCTCCGCCTGGTAGGCCATAGAACCTAACTATTACTCCTCTTTCAAGCTGCCCAGCCCCACTTTTTCATCGCCGTGTGGGGCACCCCACTCCCTTGGGGAGTGATGCACAAACCTACTGCCCCCTGCAGCCCTAGGAGCCCTACCAGGAGCCTGCTGGCCAGGCTATCCTCCCTCGACTGTGAGAAGGGGTGTTAAGTGAGGATGGAGTCACGGAAGCGTCCCAATTCTGCCAGACAAACAGCCACAGGGAGGACTCCAGGGTGTGATTTTGTCCCCAAAGGACATGGAAGGGCTGTACCAAAGGAGTCCAGAGTAGCCACTCACCTGGGGAGAGGCCCAGCAGCAGCTGCTGCGGAGGATCCCCATGTGGTTTATATTTCACCATCTGGGTCCGTTTCTTCAGCTGAGGAGAATGGGGGAGAGAACAGGGACACAGAACATTCACCCCGCTGTGCAGACAGGCTCGCATTGGGAGGCACAGACAGGGCTCGCGTGGGGAGGCAGATGGCCCGAGAGAGGCAAGGGGCCCAGACTGCGGGAGGTTCAGGGGCTCCGTTTAGAGGAGTATGCTGAAGCTCAGAGCAGCATTTCAGGCCTCCCCTTCCTGCCACCTTTCTGTGCCTGTGCCCTGCCATGAGGCACCCCCTCGGTCCCTCCCTCCTTAGTGCCCTGCTTTCCCCCTGACCTGGCACACGCAACCCCACAGAGTACCCAGGCCTGGTCCTCTCAGGAGCGAGAGACCAAGACCCCAGCCCTTCCAGACCCAGCACTGCAGACCTGCTCTTCACACACAGCCCAGGGAGCTCCATGGGACAGTCGCCCTGATTGCCCCTCCCATCTCCCCCTAGCACTTAGGGGGCTCGGTCTCCAGCAAGGTGTTCCACTCTCCCCTTCATTCACCCCACAGCACGTTTCAGTGGAGGTGAGGCTCCCAGCATAGAGCACGCTTGGTCAAATGAGCACTTCATGCCATGCTGGGATTGACCCTAAGCCGCTACTGCTTGAGCCAACAGCTCCCGGCTCTGTCAGCCAAGCCTATAGCAGGCTCATCTGCCCCATATATCCCCATTTAGCAGTGGACAGGGCACAGAGTGTCACACTGAGCGGGTGCAGATGATAGGAGCTATGATCCCCCCGCACACACACACTTTCCACCACTTTCTCCTCAAGCTTACATTACTCCTGCGGCCCATCTGCCAGCCTGGCACTTGGCCTTTCTCCTGTACCTTCAAAAGCTGCTGAGCCCTGGGAGGAGAGAGATTGCCATCAGGTAGCTACAGAATTACCCCCCTGAGCCCCTATAGCTCTGCTGGCACATCCCCACCACCCAGTCTCTTTGGAGGTGCCCAGATGAGAAGCACCTTGAGAAGCTAGACAGTCTGTTTTCCTGAACAGCTGCAGGGAACTCAAAGGCAAATGGGGGGGGGGGGGGGCAAATTCTCCTTCCCCACTGCTGAGACCCCAAAAAGACTGTAGCCCCTATGCGCGCATTACCGGCTGTAGTTAGGCACTGTTCCCTTGTCCAGGTCCCGCAGTGTCAAGGGATCGACACGAGCACAATACCACTCCAGCCGCCCCTTGTGCATGGTGTCAGTGACGTGCAGGATCTCCCGACACTTGATGCACAGGGCATAGGGGTCGGACTGCTCCGGGAGGGTCAGATTGGCACGCACGTAGAGGGAGTCTCCAGTCACTTTCTTCCCTTCTTCCAAGGCCTCCTTGAGAGGCTGGTATCCTGGCCCAAGAGACACAGAATGAGATTCACTGCAGCCAGCTCCCTTCTCCAAGGGACCCGCGCGGGAGTGAGGTGGGCAGTCACCTCTGGAACCTCGGGGCATCTCGTACAGCTGCGCTCCCTAAGCTGGTGTGCACAGCCGCATGGGCCGTGGTGTGAAGAGAAAGCCTGGAACCAACAGAACGTGGAGATTCTCCTCTGAGACAGCGTGGAGGGGTCTTAGGGTAGGGAGGGGCAGAGCCCAGGACTCAGGTTGCTCTGGGCTGAATGGACAAGGAGGATGAATTCCTGGAAGGGGAGGGGAGGGGAACAACCTGTACCCCAGGGACGTCCATCCTTGCGCCCAAGCCAAGCAGCAGCCACCAGGATTTACCTTGCATGTCGGGCAAGAAGATGAGACCAGCTGGGTCATCCCAGTGCAGCAGGCTCAGGTAAGCTACCTCCCGTGTGCAGTTTTTCAGAGACAGCACCTCCCTATTCGGCAAAGTGCCCCTCAGCTGCCAAGGAAAGAAGGGTAGGAGGGAGAAGTGGTGACTACAACAGGTCACACGGACCAACCCCTCCCACCACCCATACCAGGATAGGCCTTCCTTCTCCACGTCCCAGCTCCCTCCGCTCAGCACCTCAAGAAGGATAAGGGACAAATGAGAGCTTGGAAGGGTCTGAAAGCTTCTGGGTGCAGGGCTTAACCCAGCCTCTAGCCATTGGGGGTAAGAGAAACTGTCCCTGAGAGCTGGCTACACTACCACTGAGTTTCTTGCTCCTTCCTCTACAGCCTCTGCTGCTGACCTAGGTGGTGCACACAATTCCCCAATGCTCTTCATTCAGCGGCGCCCTTCTGACTGTCCAGCCTTATAACCCCATACAGCCCATGGCATTTGGGCACTGATGTTCACACAGCTGTAAAATTTAAGGCCAGAAGGGACCACTAGCTCATCCAGGCTGATCTTCTGTAAATTACCACCCAGCCTGTTCTCCAACTAAGCAGCATCAGGTGTGGTTAATACTCAGCTGGGAGATCACTCAGATATGGGGCACTCAAGAGGAGGCGCTCTAGTCAGTACCCCAGCATGGAGCCGGATTGCTGGAGGTGCTTGTTAAAGGGGGTGGTTTTTCCAAGAGCAAGGCTGTTCATTCCAGTGGCCGGGCAAAACTGAATCAGGTAATTATATTGTCAACATAAATACCCCCAGGCACTTTCACCGGAGCAGTTCTTCTCCACATAAATTCCTACAAAACATGGCAGGTGTCACTGAGGCAGAGTGGCTGGAAGGAAGCAGTGCCGGCAGGGCATCAGAGGAGGACTTAGAGCGTGGAGATGCTGTCTCAGGCTAGCCGAGGGCTGTGCTTAAAGGGTCCCGACCCCCACCCCGGACAGACAGTTCTCAGGGGTGCCCCGCTTGCAAAGCAGTCCTGGCTTGGATTACCTGGGAGGGGGCAATCGGGGGGCTGCAGGGGAGCTTCCCCCCCCAGAAGCCCGCAGAGCCAGCCCAGTCCTCCCCATCGGGGGCTCGTACCCCATTCCTCCCTCACCTCCTTCCACTTACCCTTCCCTAGCCCCCCTTCTTATTGATGTACAAAATAAAGATAACGTTTCTTCCAACATTGACTCTGTCTTTATTGAACAAAACTGGGGGAGACTGGGAAAAGGAGGTGGGAGAGGGGAAGAGAAAGGCTGGGAGAGGGGAGGGCAACTAACATGATCAGGGGTTGGGAACAGGTCCCAGATGAAGAGAGGCTACAGAGACTGGGACTGTTCAGCTTAGAAAAGAGGAGACGGAGGGGGGACAGGATAGAGGTCTCTAAAAGCAGGGGTTGGGTGGAGAGGGTGCATTCAGAAAAGTTCTTCATGAGTTCCCATAAAGAAGGACTAGAGGACACCAAAGGAAAGGAATGGGTAGCAGGCTTCAAACTAGTAACAGAAAGTTCTTCTTCACAAAGCAAAGAGTCAACCTGTGGAACTCCTTGCTGCAGGAGGCTGTGAAGGCTACAACTAGAACAGAGTTTAAAGGGAAGTGAGATCAAGTCATGGAGGTTGGGTCCATGGAGTCCTATTAGCCAGAGGGTAGGAGTGGTGTCCCTGCCCAAAGTTTGTGGAAGGCTGGAGAGGGATGGCACGAGACAAAGGGCTTGGTCA